TGTGAATCTTTTCCACAGTGAAGGTTCGGGCATACGTTTTACATATCCGTAAGTGTAAGGGTACTTCGGACTGGGATTGCGTTCATAGTAAGAGAACTTGTTGTATTCGTCCTCATAGTATCTATTGCCGGAGGGTATTTTGCTCTGGGAGCGCTGCTGGGTGTAGCCGATAGGTTCCATGGGATACGGGTGGGCGCTCTTCGGGACACTTGTGTAATATTTCACTTTCCTTGGCATAGTGTCGTAGTTGTCGAGGCCGTCGCGTGTCGCCTTGGCCGGCTGCACGCCGAGTTCAGGGTGGGCGTATTGTAAAACGGGATTTCTTTCGTCAAAACTTATTTTGGAATTCTTAGGCGTATAAGCTATTGAGTTGGGAAAATTAACATCTCCTGGATGTTGAAGCATTCGTCTTTGAATATGATTTTCCGAGTAGTCCAGGTCCCCGTGCGCACGCGAGCTGCGCCCGCTGAAGTAATCGCGCTTCGATTCTTGTTCGTTGATCTGCTTGATGTATTCGATAAGCTTTGAGTTTGCCACTTTCGAATTATCGGCCTTGGTGAAGGGACCGTAGTTGGATTTCAAATAATGGCTGTCTTTTTTTTGTTTGTACGCGTAATTTGGACTATTATTAATAGTATAAGAGCCAATTGCGTCATCGACCTCAAACTTCACGTTGTCAAATTTTGTGAACGGTCCGTCTTTGTGCTTAAAGTTGTCCTCTTTTGTAAAGGGGCCGAAGCTCTGTGAGGGTTCGGCGGCCGCTATGTCCGGGTACACGTCCGCCTCGGGGATCGCCCGCGGAGGAGTATAACCTTCGGGGTAGGGTACCAGTTCACCGTTGACCACTCGAGCGTTACGCCAAGTCTTCTTGTCGGACTCGTCGTCGGGCATCCTTATGCCGTGTATTTCCGGAATTCCATCGTCGCCGATAGATAAAATGGATCTGCCTCGCTTGTTGTTGTATTTTTCAATTGCCTTTTTAACGTACGTTGGATCGGAATTCACTATCACAGGGTCGGGCACTTTAATATTTTCACCATCACCATCTGACACTTTTGTGCTAACCACTTCAATATACACTGGGTTCCTATCGTTTTTGATTATTGGATTATGCGGATCGAATCTGTAATTTTTGACACGTCCACCGTAATCGAGAAAACTTGACGAGGTTATGTAAACTTTTTTGTTTTCAGTTTTTTTGTCGTTATCATACGTGGGGTAATAGCTGGCGGTCTCGGGGTCGACGTCCGGTTTCCCGCCATCCTCCTGTATATGAGACTCGGGGTACACGGACACCGGGGACCAGTTCCCGTACTCCGCTTTTACATCACTGAAACTTTCGTCCTTGTCACGATTCACATAGTAATCGAAACCGGCGAGGTCACTGTTAACTGTTCCCATGTAATTAAGTTTTCTCTGATCTCTACCCTCAGTTTTATTCCTGTCCTCCCCCGTAGTGTTGAGGAAGGTCGTCTTCACGGAGACAGTGGTGGGGGCCGGCGTGCTTGTGCTGGCGTGCGTAGTCGACTTCATGTCTTTCTTTTTGACGATAAGTTGAGTGACATGTCCAGACTTGGTCCTTACGTTGAGGGTCTCCGTGGTGAGAGGGTTGAGACTCCGAGAGACCTTAAGCTCGGTCCTGGTGGTCCGGGATGGCAGAATGGTTGTGCGGATGGTCTTGGTGGTGGTCGCGTTGTTATCGCCGGGCTCCGCGGCCGCGCTGAGCACGGCGCAGATCACCCACACCGTCGCACATATCCGTGTATACTTTACGGGAATCATCTGGAAAAGAAGAGAAATTCATTAATTTTTCGGATCGAAAGTTTATAGATTTATGTTTTTTTTAATTGTAAAGTTTATACAATAACATCTAATTAAGTATTTTCGTACATCTTTACTGTATTGTATCTTAGTATATAACGTAATTAAATATGGTAGGCACAATGTGTTGCGTAGCGTACATTTCGCGCGGTATTTTCTCCCGCGCAAACGAATGCGTTTTCTCGCCACCTCGGCACTGGCGCTGGCGTCGCGATGGAAAAACCATCATTATAGTAATTTCACACGGAATATCTTTTAGAAAATGCGTATTGTTCTTGTGTATGTATTTGTTTCGGTTTTTAATTCTTGTATACTCGCAGTTGACGCAGTTGGGTGGCCGCGAAATGTATTGACCTGAATTTCTATAAACATTAGTAAAGTTAACAGTGGCCCGCTTTAACATCTTCGCACGAATGGGCCGGCTCGCCCGGTGTAATACCACGACAACACAGAAAACAGGCGTGAAGTGGAAGCAATTCCGCGTTTCGTCTGATGAGTGTGGTTCCGGAGGCCTAATTTTATCCCTTTCCCTTTCCACCCTTTTCTTGACAGGAAAGGATGGGAAGGAAAAGTGGATTTGACGGTGGAGGAGACGTATAGAAAGGGAAAATTTCCTCTTTATGTGCGTCTTCTCCTCCGTCAATTAAGGGTAGGCAACGCATCTGCAATTGCAAGCGGTCGCTTTCCATTTCAGTGGATTTAGGTGGCTGCTTGCTCGTTTGCCACCTTATATTATAAAAAAAAAAGTTAAAGGCTTAATACTCTCTTAACGATTTTAACTTTTGGTAAGGTTTGGACTGTATATATTCGGTACTAAGTTTTATCGACATATGATTTTTTGGTTTATGTATAATATTAATTACAGAATTCTACATGCTAAAATCCTTTATAAATCGACTCGTTAACTTGGAAGTTGTAAGCAAAAGTGAAACTTCAGCACGGCCGCAGCAAAGCGCGGTTGAACGCCCTGCACCCGTATACAACACAATATAGCATAGCACATCAAGAGAGGAAAACCTTCCTCTGCTGCTCTTTTGACGTAGTAATACACACATTCAAATTGAAGCAATGACAAAATATATATGTCGTAGGTAGCAGAAACGTAAGTCTAAATGCACATATTACGTAGTAGCCCCCATACTGATGCAGAGTTAGATTGTTTATGTGTTCGCCCTACATCGGTTTCAAGTTTTTAAATGGAATTATAAACAGATATTTAAATCCTTGCAAGTGTGTTGCAATGTATATTAATGCGGCCATGGTAGCTAAATTAGTTTTAAGTCGTTTAGGTAAATAATTACATTCCTTAGTTTCAATTAGGCAACAACAGCCAGCAAGCAAGGCTCTTTCAAACTATATTATTATCAACAAGTTAGGTAGTTACATTTTACCTAATCCATAAAACCGGACGGGTGTGAATGTGTAGTTTATTTAGGACAAAAACAATAAGGAACTAATATTAATGGGCTTGTAAATGCAACAAAATCCATAGACAAGGGAGCGGCTGACATTTGGCGTGTTGGCGCGTGACGCGTGACGTGCCCCGGCATTGTTTGCTGATCGCGTATCGGCGCGGGAGGGGGCGAGGGGGGGAGAGGGCATGAGGTTCCCACATTGTAAACGATTGCGAATGCGTTGCGAAACCGATCCACGGCAATTGAGCCATTCAGAGCCATCACAGGTGTATTGCGTAATTATATATTTACACTTGTAGCGCACGAACAGACGAAATTTATTCGAAACGGTACTTGAGAGTCGAATCAGCAAAAAAGGGTTTGTAGCATACAAGGTTTTGAACATTTCGGTGTATACCTTGATATTAGTTTAGGTATTTTTAAAATAACGCAAATGTAGGAGATTTTTTTGATTATAAATAAAATGCAGTAGTTGTTATGTTCAACAGAGAAATTGTTTTTATGAGTATGACATAAATTTAAGAAGTAGGTCACGCAAAACCTAAATGACTAACAACCGGTCTGGTCTTAAACTGTTCCAGTTTTCCCTTTCGTGACCACGTAAATACGGAAGTATGGTAATCAATGTTGGCGTTACGCAACCGACGAGGAAACCGAATCGAACCGAAATAAGAAAGCATCGCATTCCGATATAATTACAAAATCGTAATGGACGCGTTTGGGCGCCGCGCGGCCGCGAGGTGAAAGTGGTTGCGTCACTTCGCTGCCGCGCGTCTCTTGCAGATGGCGCTGCAAGCGGCGGTCGGTGACCATAGACAATGTTTTGGAACAGATCAATCCTTCAAGACAACAAAAATGACCTCTTTTTTAGTTCTATAGACTTTTATTGCCTTAATTTGTATAAACATGGCATACCATCTTCAATGCTTCATTATTGTTTTCAACAAAGATTATAATCTAGGACTAGGTCAAAGTTATTTAATAGGACAATTACATGAACAATTTGTTGTACGCAACAGTTTTTACCTGCATTCTTAATAGATTGGATTGTTGCTGGAAGCAGTTACAAATTAAATAAATACCTCTCATCTCTTTATATCTTTGGTGGCATAAAAAAAGCATTTACTCTATAATTATACAATCCCACGCAATCTTCACTTTTCCTGCCAATAAAGTGAAGCTTGCATTGTTTCGGCGGCGATTAAACATTTCTAACGACCCTTTCTAATGACCAGAGACAATCGCGCAGAGATTTAAAATGAAAACGTTAGTATTAAAGAGCAAGAGAAACGAAAGCGATTAACGCAAATGTAAACGTAACTTTGTATATGTCTTTAATATATTTGTTAAATACATTTGACAAAACCTGCATAAAGTAATAATTATCGTCAGTAACCCAGATTTCCCAGCAGCAGCGAACACGAGCAAAGACATGAATATGTATGGAGCCGCATGAAAACGCCTGCTCCACTTGTTCATACAGATAAACAATCTTTAATTTAAATGTTTTTTTATGATGCTGCTGTTTTTATAAGTTTCAAAGGAGTTCATAAATGTTTTACACACCAGTTCTCGTATTTAAAATCAAATTTCAGTTTAAAATACATGCAGAAGTACAAGTTACAGCTGGTTATTCATTTTAAAGATTTAACGCTTTGAATAATTTGCTTTAAAGTTACGACAGTTATCAACGATAACATAGGTAAGCATTAGTATTGTGTGACGAGTCATTACTTGGAAATGGTCACGCCTTGCCCTACTTATACTATCGTTGACCTTAGGTAACAGGTAACAAAAAGTAACAAAAACACGTGAAGTTCGGTTCAATGTGTTTGTAAAATGCGTATTGACTTATTCACTTTGAAAACGATCTAGATAATGAACGATTTTTAAACGTAGAGCACTTATGGGACCTTTTATGTTGGAGATAACACAGTTCACTTTGAGGTATGCTCCTCAATAAATTCTAAACCTACCACTACCTTGTATTATCTCCTTTTTTGGTGCATATCCTGGCATTACAAATATAGTAGTTAAGGGCAAAACATTCCATTTGAAATGTTCCAAGATCGCGCTAACATATCACATTCTTTTTCGAATTTAGAACACAAATATCATATATAACAAAACAAACAATAACATCCACGAAGAAGGTAATTATTGCGTTTGACTAAGGAAGCAGCAGAAACTCCGAAATAAGTAAAATTTTGATGGAGTATAAAACAAAAAGTATGTGAATCCCTGGTGTAGAGTAATCGTTTATTTCCACAGCATTGTATTAAAATGTAACAAAAAGCAAGTGAACCAGTTCACTAGAGAGCTGATCGATGCGACAAAAGTTGCACAATAACGACACTAGGCACTAGGCAATGCAATAGGCTGAGCCAACAATACTGCGCCTTGTGTGAATTGTAATGATGTAATCTACAATACAACGAAATAGATCAAATCTCAGATAAATTACAAAAGATTTCACTGAGTTTATACGTACTAATTTCGAATACTATCTATGTAATTGTTTTGAATCAGAGATGTAACTTGGTTACGTAGAAGTGGAGTTATGGGCGTCTAATTTAAAATTGTCTTTCAATAACTGTGGGAATATCAACGAAATGTATTCTAAATTCAATACTAGTGACTAGAGAAAACATTCGACAATCACAAATGTTCCTATGCAAGTAATGCATGCAAATAAACAAGAAGTTACATAAACAAAAGAAATCGAAACTGTCGACATTCTACAGGTCGATGGCGGAGCGGCATACGAGATGGCTAACTGACGGCTTTCTATCACAAGCACAGGTGCGGTGATGTTACAACATATAGCATTGTTACATACTGATGATGTCCCAAGCGATGCCTTCAAGTTTAAGTTAAGCTTGACCTCGCGCAAGGTCACAGATGTATTACTTTGAATGTTTAAAATACAAATTATAATTCTTACTAACATTATGGCTAAAGTTTGCTTGTTTTTTTGTTGTTAAATGATGTTATCAGTCTTAAACAGCTTAACGGATATTCCTAAAATTTGGCATAGATGTAGAGCATAGTTTGGAAGAACACGTAGGCTACTTAACCTTTTTTAATTTGATGCAGTGGGCATCGCGGGGGACTGCGAGTTAGATAAATTTCAACATAAAATGTATTTATTCACTGTTGATCAGAATAGGAGGTTTAAAATGTGGTAAGTTTATTTCAACGGTTTGTTGTTTTGGTATAATTAGATTACTATTATTTTCTGAAAGGTATGAAATGTGATTAATTAATTACTTATTATTATTTTATATTTATGACACAGAATGTTGGATCAATAATAATTTCCTTTAACATTAGATTTAAAATAAACCTAGTGGTGGGTGTCATCTATTTTAGACAGGATTTGTCTATTTAGTGACCTGTGTCGCTTTGTGCCAGCCCTGACCTAGGCTGTTGCATGTCGCTTGCCTTGTCAATCCTACTTGATGTGTTTGTGTCCGCATTTACATGACACATGACCATTAGGTTAGTATTTACGACGATTATAAACCGCGATACGTGTATGGCGAACCTTAGCTGTTTAACGTTAGGAGAAGTTTAAATTATCTGTTAAAACTTTTTTAATTAAACCTGACACTTTAACTTAAGAATACTATATTACACAATTTGACAGCCAATTAAAATCAACCTAATCCAAAAAGTTTTTAATCGCATCGTAATACTGGCAACTACGAAAATAAATAAAAAAAACAACAAAGAATCGCGTAAAACAAATAGAAAGGTGTTGCTCACCGTTCAGCTTGTCCGTAGAAAGTGAAAACGTATGA